TATAAACGGGAAAATTAAGAGACTCACCAACACATCATTGTGTGCGTTTATTATACATTGGCCACTTCCTAGATACTACCATTTTTCTACAAATTTTTAGAAAGAGGATCCAAAATATTCTATAGGGTATGTCTGTCAAAATGCAGTCAAAAAGCAACCGTCTTCCCATAGATGGTGGTGGTACACGTAGCTACTGGAGAAGTTTGACCTGATTGACGATTAATACCCATTATACTGTTCTGTCCAATAATCCAATTGAAAATGTCTTATTATTTCGCTATGGTAACCTTTGATAAGACTCGTATGATTGGGCATTTGATCGCGTTCTCTTTGGTATGAGAAAACATCCAGCTATAGACAAATATACAAGCTTTCCACTTAAAACAAACTACCTTGAATAGACCAGTTGATATTAAAGACAATATGGCTTTTAATAAAAAAAAAAAAAATGTTTCCAATTCTGAAATATTTTTAGTTGTATTAAAAAAAGAGATAAACTTTTTGCTGTTCAAATCACGAGATATTGCACTCAATGCTACAGTGAAACCTCCGTTAACCTCCGACCTCCGGAGGCCGTTTCGGATAACAAGAATTTCGGTTAAAATAACATTGTTTTTTATAGTATTCTTGGTTAAATAATGTTTTCTAATAAGTGAATATAGAATAAAGTAATAATATTAAGGAAAATGAACAAAAGTTTTTAAAGAAATCTTCTATTTTCTTTTACGTTATCGTTTGACAACAGTGTTTTGCAGCTATATATCTCCATCGTTCATTTGCAGAACATCGTGGTAATCTGAAAAGGACAAAACTTTATACAATGGCAACAAAAATTAAGAACCTAGTCGTGTCCCTAACTAATTAGGACTACTGTATAAAATTCTTATCCTTAAGGCGTTGAAAATCTCTTCGGCGGTTTCATACTGCCTGTTGTCTGTTGGATCGTCATCGTCGTCTGATACGCTCAGGTTGTCTGGATGAAGAACCATATCAATGATGTCCTGGTCGATGAATTCACTTTCTGAGTCATCGGCTGCTTTAAAGGTTTAATTTCTTCTGTCGTTTCTTGTGCCATTTGCTTCTTCAGGATCTTCAATCAAAATCCTATCAAAAAGTTAGTTCCAGCATTTTTCCAAAGCTGAAGATTTGAACTTGGCCCAGAACTCAGCACACCGATAAACAACATGTTTCATTGTTGAACATTTGAGGATTTCTATAATGTCTCTCGAATGTCTCTATTACTCCTTGGTCTAACAGCTGAATTAAGCTCGTGGCATTCGGTGACAAAAATTATCTGACAATTATCACTATTGTATAGATTTTGAGTCAACAAGCAACAATGTTTTGATGGGAAGGTTTTTTTATTTTAAAAAGGATTTTACGCTTGGGACGAATTTATTTTCGTACCATTCTGAAATAAAGTGCACATCCATGAGCTTTTTTGGCTTCTATTAAAAACTGGAAGTGCTTTTTCTCAAATTCTTTTAGAGCTCTTGGTTTTTTGATTTCCCAACACACATAGGCATCAATCGGTGAGTGAAATTAATGGAATTTACATTGTGCGATAAAAATTTACTTTTTATTGACGAAATTATTGAAACTGTCAGCCGTTTCGGTTTAAAAGGGTTTGGTTAAGAGAGGTTTTAATGTATTTAATTTTTAACATGAAAGTCTATGTATACAGAGTTGATCTATATATGGGAAATTCATGGTAGCTTATTTTAACTGGAATGTATTATCTAGTAGTAATAGCGTGTTAATTTAATACCTTCACTACCAGGCTTATTTTGTAAGATAGCTTCAACAGTATTTATAGTCTTAAGATCATTACGTTTGTAAAGTAGTTTAATCAAACTCACATTTTTATGTACATTCAAGAATAGGTTACATTGATAACACGGTTGCTAGTCAAAAAGTTGCCACGAATGAATTACCATTATTCATTATCACTAAGCACAAATCTTTAGCGAATTGTAAAAATATCGACGGTAAAAATTCGATATCTTTTGATTCAAGTGACCTATCGACAAAAGTCAAGATGCGTTTTAAAGGTGAAGAGTGCAGTTTTTGTATTTTGCTACAAATAAACCCAGATTATATACAGGTGTTAAATAAATAAACGTTGTCGCGATTTTGCCATTTGTTACTATTTTTCACGAGATCAATACAATGTATCCCTTTCATTGACTTTCCACTATGAAGTTTCTATTACTAGAGCCTAACATTTAATCCTATAGCATGAAATTTTAGTTTTGAGTTTTGGCAACAAATGTGAGGCACTTGGAATATGTTTAAAAAACGCTGGATATTTAACCTTTCACACAAACAAATGATCTAAAACATTTAAAACCTTTTTTTTTTCAATTACACTAGTACGTTTTTCCAAAGAACAAAACTTTTGCAATAAACTACACCCAAAATCGTCTTCTTAAATGCATTTCCCGTGACGTGTGATCATTTGTAATGTAAAACATTAAATTCTGCGTTTTTATTTATATTTTAAATGCCTCATATTTGTTACCAAAACTAAAAATTAAAATTTATGTCATAGGTTTTAAAGATTGACCTCTAAAAATGGAAATTTTACTACAACTGATCAATAAAATCTTAAAAAATCTCAAAAAATCTGAAAATCGCGCTCGTTAATTTATTTAAACACCTTTATAAAATCTTGAGTTTATTTGCGGCAAAATACAAAACTAAATACGAAAGCTGAAATCTTTTTCCTTTAAAAAGGTATCTTGATTTTTGTCGATAGGACTTTTGGATCAAAAGATATCGAATTTTTACCAGCCAGCTGGCAAATTTTTATTGAACATTGATTTCGCGCGCATAACTGACTGCTATAACCGACGGTCGCTTCAAGCGTTGTTTCTAAGAGAACGGTCAATTCTACACAAAAAATGCTTATAAAACATTTTTGCTTTAAAATTATCTCAGCTATATTTTTTATTTGAAACATTTTTTTTTTCTATGGTGTATACAGATTCTAAGTAAATCGTTTTTTTTGTTGCGTTTTTACTCCCCCTGCGAGGGGGTTCAGGGGACGTCCGTGGGTTAAAATCTTCTATGGGTCGCAAAATTGATATTCTCTGCAAAATTCGGCTTGTTCGTATGGATTTTTAGGGGTGCTAGTGGACTTACAAATCATAAAATTGTAAATTTAAATGTTAGGTGGATCTTTTTGCAGTATGGCCTTACTCAAAATAATATGTGACATAGAAATTTATTGTTGATAAATTTAAATCGAAACATTTTTTTATATACTTTTGATTTTGCTATAAATACTTACGTGTCGGTTCTCTTGCTGGATTTTTTCAAAATATAAAAGAGAAAAACGGAACAGTAACATTTGAAATGACATTAATTTGTTGCTTACTGGGAAATTTATTTAATTAACGTTCTTTATCAAATTTGAACATCACTAATGGTCAGTTTCTTTTCTCTCCCTGTGTTATAGGTCACAAGAATTGACGCAACATAGTCTGGTATACTTTGCTCAGTTTTAAAGTCTAATATTACAAATATTTTTAGTCTATACCGCATTCGAAAGGAATACGGGATCGTTTGATCAAAAACTGACCATTTTCTATTTGATGTTATGTTAAAACAGTCAGTGTGTTTCTTTCTTCGCGCATTTCGAACCAGAAATAGAGACTATTTTATTGATTTACTATGTAAATCGTATAAATATTTTCTATTCACTTAAGTTCCTTTCATATGTGGATCTAATATTAAGTCATAGGTGTAATCAAAAGATATTCCAAGGGTTGCAGGCCAGTACGCTAGCAAGACGAGGTTGTAGAAAACTCAACAGAAACTTCTATATTGTCTAAAAATATTTTAAATGGGATTTCGAAGTACTGACACTAAAAAAAACACAATGAGAATGTCTTCGATGTTTCGGATTCCAGATTTGAGACAAGACACAAAATACTAGAGGCTCAAACGGAGCTGCATTGAAATATGCAATTTTTTAAACACAAAAAGAAACGAAATCGCTAGACTAAGGATCTTAAATTGGCAGAAAATCTTAAAAGAGAAAGAATTCAGAAGATTCTGTATAGTTCAGTCATCAGAGACGTAAATGCCAGAATCTCTAAACAGCATATGAACAAGCTGAATTTTGCCGAAAATTTCAATTTCACAACCCAAAAAAAAACTGTTTATCTGCAAAACTAAATATGTTACAGAAAATGTTTCAATTATAAACTTTCACACATTCATAATTGTAAAGATCATAATTGAAACATTTTCTGTAACATATTTAGTTTTTCAGATAAACATTTTTTTTGGTTCCTGAAAAATAGCCATTTTGGAATCTCACCAATTTTTCAGAAACAACTCTTGGAGCTACCGGCAATGTCAGTTCCGCTCGCAAAATTTAGGCTGTATTTATAGGCTCTAGTAATAAAAATTCTATAGCGACCGGTTAATGGAAGTGATAAAATCTGTTGATCTCATGAGAATCCTAAAAAATGGCAACAATTTCGCAACGTTTATTTAACAGTTCTATATTTTTTGAAAAACTTTGATGAAAATGTAGTGTGCTGGTCAGTACACCATTAGAATATTGTTAAGGAGATACGAGATATGCAAAGGAAAAGGGATTTAAAATCTTTTAAAAGTAATCAATCAGAATTACCCACAAGCAACAATTGTATGAATCTGGTTATGAAAAGAATTGAGTGTGTATCCTTGAATAAAATGTTGGTCATTTTGGAAGCAAAGTTACACATTTATAAAATGTATTTGTATATAAAATAAATGTTTTTACGTACTAATACATTCTTGTTAAATCATCTATATAGGTAAATTCAACCGTATTTGCTTCCATACTGACTCATTTTTATTCGGGAATGCATCTTGATGTGGAAGGGACATGTTAGAGCTCTTGAGTAATTTTACTTTAAAAATATCGATTAGATTTTGTGTCCCTTCCTAAGCAAGTTCGCGTCGCATCATCCAACCTGATGCTCATCGGTTATTTGTTTTTCTAGTCCCTGTCAACATGGTCCCTGCCAGCAAAGTTCACCACCTTTGTGGATCCTACCGAGAAATATCTGTCGAATACCCGGCACGAGGTAAGCTTGCGAGAGCAAATCGAGGAGGACTTGATGACGGCAACAGTCAAAGGGCACTCGTTCGAAAGCGGTGCCATAGACCCAGTTTCGTTTATGTATGTCGACCCGTACGAAGTGAATCCGTTATCCAGAAGCTCAGATTTGCCCCCCGCAACGATACTAGCCGATATACCGCTCAAGGTAAGTTTCCGCCATCATTAAAAGGTTCATTTTTAACAACGTCTTTAAAAATGAGCCTATTTTTCTTATAAACGATCTTGATATCTTAATAAAATATATGATCATTCATTTCATTGTATAATTTGGATTTTGTAATGTTCCGATATTGAATAAATAGATAAATGACAATTTTTTGACCATATGTACAAGGCTTTTCCACCAACTTGCTAAAAAACACACTATTGCACGTATGTATATTATACCTGTATCAAAGGGCGTCACGAAAAAAGCTTCTTTTTTTCAATTTCTATTAACAATAATGTTGTTTTAATAACAGAAGCCGCGTTTTTAGATATAAAAGATATAAATCTCGAAGATGAAAACATACCAGACAATAAAATGACCTCGGGATAACTAACACTACAAAATGGCAGATAAGTAACCGAAAGAGAAACTGTAAAAACGAAGTCCGAATCCCTTCAGATAAAGATTTTTAAAGATAGCTTGCTCTAACCTACAATCTTATTGTTTTAAAAACCATTCATCAATCAATTTGTTAACTAATTTTACAGAAAAACAAGTATTATCAGCAGTTGTTCTTAAGTTTCGTTATCTTTGACACGTCAAATGGAATTTTATCTATTATTATACTCGCAAAAAATACACTACAATAGTCGGTAAAGAAACAGATCAGATCCTTTTATTAAAAAAATACATAAAATGAAGCAGAGTAACTGCATTGAGACAACCAATTTCCGATTTCTGGTGAAAAACAGCTTGATATCGAGAAAATTTAGGAGCTTATGTCCAGTAGTGGAGAATACAAAAGTAACAAGAAGAAAACAAAATAACCAAGAACCATTACAGAAAATAAAATGTTACTGAGCCAGATCAGTGCAGAATATATTAAGTTCTATTGATAGTATCACTTTAATGTAATATATAAATAACTCTATGTATAAAGCATTACAACGAGATATACAGAGAAAAATCACACATCAACCCAAACAGAAAGAACTGGAGAAAAAATGCCAAGAAATCGAAATTCTGCAAACTTCGAAACAAACTAAATTCGACGACTTCAATGTGCATAAGAGAAATTACAGCAAATGTAATTACGAACAATTATACTTACCTTGAGAAAAATCTTGAAGCCGTCGAGATGTGGCTAAGAAGAATACTAAGGATATCATGGACAAGATATTCAACGAGACTGTACTATGAAGAATGGGGAAGGAAGGGAAAGTCAGAATATCTCTGACACATAATGAGAAACGGCACTAAATACAGATTACTGAAAATAATCCTTCAAGGCAAAGTATTCGAAAAGCGAGGAATTGGGAGAAGAATATCATAGTTAAGAAAATCTTAGGAAATGGTTCTCCACAACATCAGTTAATACAATAATTATAGCCAAAATGATCGGCAATATTCCAAACGAATATGCACCAAAAGAAGAAGATAGTATCAAAATCCTTCATTAAAGTAAAAAAAAAAAAACAAAAATGTTTTCACCGGTCACCGATTGGCTATGAAAGACTTTAATGTCGAAATATTATTCAGGTTACAGTAATTCGTTGTTATATTTGAAAAACCAAGTCCTTTATAAAAAAAAATCAGATTACAGCAAAATTGATTTATTTTCTTAAGATCCCCTGTATATTAAATGTCGAGGAAAGAGATGTATCTATAATTTATGAAGTTGTTCCGAATTACCATAGCTTCCCAATATCAATTTCCTCGAAAAGCTCGACAAAAATGGTGCAATAATACGAATCAAACAGACAAGTCAAAACCGGCAAGAATCCGTCTGTTTGTGTCGGTGGTAGGGCATCCCCTTAAAAACGGCGATTCGTTCCGCCGGCCGCAGACTTTCACTGTTTTTCGCAGGCGCCGCTCGCGTACTCTGTCGGTGGAGAAGACGTCGTGTATGTATGGTCACGTGAGTGGTTACTCTACTCAGTGTTTTTGTCTTAGTTAACCAGTTGCATCGATAGACACAGTGATGGAATGTCGGGATTCCCAGCTCAGGTGGTGTCACCAGGATGCTAGGATCTTTCATGTACTTATTTTATTTTTCTTTTATTATATAATTCACAGGGTGTCTGCCAAAATTTAGATCCGTGTATATTAAAAAGAAAACAAGATTATTAGCGTTCTATTGCTTTTCAATATAATGAAATGTTATGAAGCGACAAAATATGTAAAGAAATTTACAGTAAAAAATAATTTGCATCTTGTTAAAAATATCTTTCTTATACATTAACTATTTTCTAATGGAATATCACCATTTTTAGTTACTTAAATTTGACTACTCTCTAATCTTACTTTAATTTTGTTGATTTTCTAGTTCATATTCAAAAAAACTATAATTAATGACAATTTAAAAACTGAATAATTTCAGGACCGATGCTTTTTGGAAAAATACAACTGATTTTGTCATTTTATGAGCACATTTAACCTCTCAATTTTTTGATGAGGTGAAACTGATTTCAAAATAAATTTGAGTTCATTAAAATGCTAATTTTCCTCAAAAATATTCTTCATTTAATTTTTTTAATATCTATTGTACAAATTTTGTTTTGTTTCACGGTTGCCATAATCTATCACTTGAGAGTGACGTGATCTTTCGATATCTATTTTGTTGAATCTTATCTATCTGTAATATTCTTAGAATGCGATAAATACACGTTATTAAGGCCCTCGGTATATAAATTATATGTTAACATGACATAAGCACTATTTAAAATTTTTATAATGAATTTCTTTCTGTAGAATTTCTTTGATCCTACTCACTCTGTTAAGGATGAGTGGCGGTGCGTGATGTCACACGTCAAATGTCAAACATATTTCATCGTTTTCCTTTATTTTATAAATTAATAATCAACTTTTATATTTATTATACGTATTTCATTTTATAATCAACTTATCGCATTCAAGTGAATGAATCTTTATAATGTTGCCTTCTTTTAGCTTTAATGTAATTCGTAGACAACTCACAATGTCCTGCCACTCATCCTTTTAAAGGGCGAATATCAACTTCAGTTCTTGTTAATATTTTCGATCTGTTTTTCTTAGTTTCTATAGATATTTCAACTATTTTATATAATAAATATGAATACAATTGTGCAATTGATCAATTTGTTTCATTGCATTTTTTTAAATTCACTTCAAAAATGCTCTAAATGTGCAAATACTTTTAATTATTTAAAATTAAAGAAAAACTCAGATAATGTTACTTTTCTATTCGATTTAATTATTTGGTTTAATTATGTGGGAAAACCTATTAGCATTTTATGAATCATTTTTAGAAGTCGCTTGAAATAAACAAAGAAATTTTAAATTCAAATAATTTTGCTGGAAAATGAATATTGTGAATATTGTTTTTAGGAATTATACATTTTTTATAAATTTTTTTAATACAATATTATTTTTTGAATTATATTTTCCGATCATTTAACATTTCAACCAGTCTGGTAGTTGATACTTTTTTTTATCGTTAATTTAAGATGAAATATAAAGTATTCAAATCTACTCATCTTTCTTCTTCTTTTATAAAAGCAATTTTGCTTGGTCATTGATGGGTTTTTGTCTATGTGGACGATCGTCACTCTTGTACAATCCACACACAGCAAAAAGCTTAACAATTCTACAAAATACATTTGACATTAACTGACAATTTTATTGTTTTGATGTCATTTTTCCATAGCTACCTCTTAATTTAACGTAATTATGAAAAAATCAATGTATGTAGACATAAGTGAATGTATAGCCAGAGTTTAGTGACAATGTTTTTTATTGTTTAATATAAATAAAAAAACTATAATGGTAAATGTTTTTAATAAATATTAATAAAAATGCCATATTCATTTATGGGAACTTATAATTCCATTTTGATACCAACTGATGGTAAAGGACTCATACATGTTGCATAATATCGCAACATATGCTCATATTGTATAAAAGTCATATTTTTGTATTAAAAATTTACAAGTAATTAAAAAAATAAGCTCAACGATTAGAATTTTTTATAAATTTTGGAGACACCCTGCACCTTTGTTTTCTTTTGGACTATTCTAACGAATAGTGTAGGTTTTCACAGCCACTATTTTGTAAGGATACCTACTTTAGTTTTGGTTCACTACTAAAACAATGACACCTACACTACTAAGTAATATTGGACGTTTTGGTAAAATATCGTAACAATCCATGAGCTGTAACACCATTTCAAGTTTCAAAGAAAAATTCAAGTTTTTTTATGTGCTCATGGAGTCCTGATACGATTAAGGTTTTGTACACCTCGAATCCATTCATGTTTTGTTTGAAATGTGGATTTTTTTTCTATAGTAGTTAATTTTTGCTTCTGTCTTCAATCAATTGTACCTTTTTTAAATTTGTTAGCTGACACATGTGTACAAAAATACCCATATACAAGAAAATTTAGTTTTCTAACTTAAAAGTATGTTTAATACAAATATAAATGTGACAATTATCAAGGTTACTGCACCTAACATACAGGTCCAGTTCCGCCTCTTCGGTACCTGCTAGAACTGCACTTAGCTTCCGCTCTTCCCTTTTGTTATCGGTAGCATCTTTCTCACATAGTTGTAGATTTTGTTCGACCACTGTTCATCCATTATCATTTTCTTTACCATCTTTTTCATTGACTCAAACATTCTCTCTAGTTAATTTCTTTCTCTTACCATCTGGCACAGAAGCTGGTGAAGTAGTAAGTCAGAGAAAGAATTACAGTGTTTGACAGTTTTATAGACAAAAAGGAACACTTCATCTGTGTTTGAATGCTACCAGCAACTCATTTTTGAACCAAAAAGTTACTAAATTGTACATCTAAAAATACCAATGGCGTTGTCCAATAGGTAGAATAGTCCAATGTAAGTTTTTTCTTTCATATTTTCAACCATGGAATCCATATCTGCAAAATGTGCAAAAATGCTCTAGTACTGACAAATTTCGTATGTTTTTAGGTCGAATCCAGTGTTTCACAACAAAGCCAGTGCGCAACAAGAGGTGGTGTGTTTTACGTTCCTCCAAAGAGAATCAAATTGGAAATGGAGGAATTCGGCGACCTGTCGTCGTTCGTTTCCCCCAAACGGGTAATGTCCAATTCTGTAGATGAACTCAATACTCCAGTCTTCGGTAAGTACAAATTTATTGCCATATTTGAAAAAGAACTACTGTTTTTACATATACACTGTCATAATTAAATATTTGTTAGTTAATCTGTTCTTGTTTTAATTTCAGATAAGGATGCTTTTGATTTCGACATAAGCAGTTATCAGACAAACGTTCAGGCGGACTTGCACCTCATGCTGAAGTGCGATGCTGCGTTCTTCCGCGAAAATAGCTCCTTTATTCCACTAAACCACCAAGAGGACGTTTTCATAAACCCGGAGAACATGCATCGGAACGCAGTAGCAATTAATAATCAACAACTATATACTGACGCCGATATTTACTCGCCCACAGCGTCAGAAAATGGTACATACATTGTTAAACAGTCCCCGGACAACTCTTCCATGTTCGACATGGACATAAACAGTAGTGTTAGTGTTAAAAGTAGTAGTAGACATTCTTCTTATCCATCTTCGCCGGTGGGCTCCGTCCACCCCGCTGCGACGGAAACCCTCGACGACAGTGAACGGTCGTTCCAGTCCACTTCTTCGTCGAAGCCTAGGTTGTCGTTGGATCTCGGTCTGGGCCATCAGACCAACCTTCTAGATGTCAATACGCCTAGCATCATCGCCGAAGTCGTTAGCTTGGAATCGACTGGTTTTAACATCTTAGATCTCGTTAAAGAGGTAAGCTACAACTCTCACAAGTGAAAAATTCTTACTAAAGGTAAATTTTTTGTTTTAGGACGACATAAAATTTGTAAATGACGTTTTTCCCGACGCCTCCACCTCGACCCTACCACGCTCATCTAATGTGTCGCAAAAAGTTGCCGTTAAACAACCGAGAAGGCGGCATAGAATGGCCGATGACGACGACGACGAAGACTACGTCCCGCCTTCTATGAAGACGAGCAGATATCCTGTAGCCCATGACTATTCCTCAGACAGCGAGGACGAGAAGCCTCAGAGGAAGAAGGCTAGAGGCAGACCTCCTAAGAGGACGGAATCTATTTCGTCAGATTGTTCTAAAGATAGCGA